ACTATTAATGATTCATGGACGGATATACTATCCATATAATGTCATTTTTTAAGCTTATAAAGAAGTTGAAGAAATATTAATAGAAAGAACTACAACAGAGCATGTTTAAAAATATTAAGCAGTAACTTACTATATTATTAGTACTAGTACAGTATAATCTAGAAAAAGAAATAACCATTGAAACCGACATATTAGACTATATTATTAGTATGTATATAATGCAACCTGAAGAAGATAGAAAGCTAAGACTGATTATATTTTACTTAAGAAAGTTGGTTTAAGTAGAACTCAACTACAATATTCATGATAAGGAATTACTAGCTATAGTAATAATATTTAAGCAGTAGAGGGTCTATCTTGAAGAGATAAAGTACACTGTTATTATAAAGACAGACTATAAGAACTTAATCTATTTTATAATAACCAAAGAGTTGACTAGAAGGCAGGCATGATGGGTAGAGATTCTGTTATAATATGATTTCAGAATTATATACTGTAAGAGAGTAGAGAATGAATATGCAAACATGCTGAGCCATAGGCCAGACTATGAATTAAGTAAAAAGACTATTAAATCAGCTATTTTAAAGCAAAACACGGATGGGTTGATTAGCTATAATAAGACTAATCTAGCAGCAATACTGAAAATAGATAGTAATCTAATTAAATAATTAGCTAAAGATACAAAAAATAATAAAATACTCTAAAAAATAAATAAAGACTTACTAGATAAGATTATTATTAATGAAAATAGACTAGCATACTTTCACAGATTAATCTTTATATTAACTATAATAAGAACAGAGATTGTAGCTAGATATTATAACAGACTGCTTAAGAATCACTTAGAAGTAGAAAAGATGATTAAACTAATTATAAGGAATTACTATATTTCAAACCTCAGATAGAAAATACATGATTATATTAAATAATATAAGACTTATATTAGAGATAAGCCTGTAAGATACCAGCCTTATAGATAAATATAAATATAAGAAGTATCACAACAGCTATAAGAATAGATAATAATTAACTTTATTAGTCTATTATTGAAATTAGAAAGATTTAATATTATTACAGTCATTACTGATCGCCTTATTAAATATATCTATCTTATATTAAGTAAGATAATAATAATAATAATATAAATAATAAAACTATTTTTAAAAAATATTATTATATACCATGGAATGCCAAAGTATATTATATTAGATTAAGATAAGTTATTTATCTTAAAGTTCTGGAGATTATTTATAGATCTTATAAAAATTAAAGAATAAATAATAATAACTTACTACCCGCAGATAAATGGGTAAATAGAAAGAATTAACTAAATAATTAAATAATATCTAAAATATTACGTGAACTACTAGTAAAATAATTAAATAAATTTATTATTAATAGCACAATTCTTATATAATAATATTAGTTATTTAATTATTAGAGTCTTACTGTTTTATACTAATTACAGATATTACTTAAGGTTTCTAGAAACACTATTAAGAAGGTAGTAAGTTACTGATATAGCTAAGAATATTATTATATTTACAGAAAATATATATTTACAGTTATTCTAAGATATCAAGTTCATAAACTTATACAGTAAAATATATTATAATCATAAATACAGAAAGAAACCTAATCTTAAAAGAGGAGAGAAAGTGTTTCTACTCCGCAGAAATATCAAAATAAAATGACTAAATCAGAAGCTTGACCATCACAAGCTAGGACTATTTATTATTAAAGATAAGAAGAGACTAGTCAACTACAAGTTGAGGTTGCCAAAATCAATGAACAGAATTTACTCAGTATTTTATATCTTATTGTTAGAACCCGTACCAAAGAACACTAGAATCATAGAAAATGTAGAGATTGATGACAATACAGAGAAAGAATATAAAGTTAAAAAGATTCTAGACCACAAGAAGATTAGCAGCAGGCTAAAGTATCTGGTAAAATAGGTAGAATATGATATCTCAGAAAACATGTAGAAACCTATCAAGAATTTGACAGGCTGCTACCAGCTTGTGGAGCAGTATTACTGACAGATAGGTCGAAGTTCGCCCAGAAAGAAGGGGAATCAACCAACTGAGTCAGACTAGGAGTATCTGACACAGCAGTAAGTCAAGCAGCGTTGTATTTATCAGCCAGACACTCTAACTCTCGGAGATCCTCAGTGCTTGAGGAATCCTTCTCATCCAGCCACTCTAACACAGTTGAGTCGTGATCCAACATCCGCTCGCCATAATCTTTTAGGAACTGTTGTTGCTTGAACAAGCAAGCCACTTTGGCAGCAATACAGGCCTGTTCAGCAAGGGCCTTAGTAAGTTTATTTTGCATATCTGATTAATTATGTTTTAAATCATTTTACTCCCTATCACTGTAAAATCATTTTTCATATTTTCAGCCACGATGAGTATAGACAGCACAATTTCAGCTTTTCAAATCCATAATATAAAGAATGTCTCTCAGAAAACAATGTTTACAAGAACTTTCAGTAATGAAACTGTTAGCATGAATCTTATTAGACTGACAGATATATTCTTTTACCCGATCACGATTAGTGTAATGACGAGATATGATAAATTATCATAAGAAAAAGAGAAATTAAGAAAACTCAACCGACATAGGAGGAACACGCATCTTTATGTCTCTTGAGGATAAGAAACCTTGAAGGAGGGGGAGTGATGTTATAGACCCCTGCTAGCCAGGTTACTAGCAGAAGCAGACTTGTCAGGCAGAAAGGTAACGACCAGGAAGGACTCAGGCAGCCAGTAACTCTTATTAAGTAAGATCCTGGTTAAGATAACATCTAAGGCAATACTGTGTCACGTGATCATCTACTATCAGATCTACTATTAAGAATATACAATATAGTATACGGAATCCAGGAACATGATTAGACCGATCCTTAATCTACCCTGAATAGTATACGAAATAGTATATAAAGAATAGGATATAAGGACATTCTTTTATATACTTAGCTAGTTCTGTTCTTCGTGCTCAATCTACTTGTCTTTAAGTAACCATATGTTTTGGTAGAGCTTAGTGACAACACTTGTCTGCACTTACGGATAGCTGCGCGGCACTATCTAGCCTTACTTCTCTTCTTCTGTTCAAGATCAAGTCATCTTTAGATAGTCAACAACCTGACTACCTTTGATTCGGTTCACAAGGTACGTATTGGAACGGGAGCTAAGCTAACAGGAACAGGGAGAAGCGATCCTAGGGTTTGACAGTAAATAAATATAAAGAAGATCTTATTAATCTTATTTCTGAGCTTTTCTTTATTTATATTAAGATATAAGTCTAACTGGGTCAAGAAAGTCCTGAGCCTTGTTCAGTTATTATTAAACAGTTCTAGTAGTTAGATCTTAACAGATTTAACTGTTAAATAATCTTTAAGTAACTAGTTCTATTACTTTAAAACAATAATACTTTCTTATAGCTAATTAACCATACTTATTAATTTCTGTATTATTAGACCCTGCTGTTACAGAGTGCGCAATGAATTTAAAATAATCAATATAATAAATAATTATACTGATTAGTACTTAATATATCAAACCCTAGGATCACTTCCCTGTCCTGGTTAGCTTAGATTTACTGGTATATATACCGTTAAATTGAGTTAAGAAGATATCAGGCTAATAACTATCTAGGAATAACTAGTCTTAAACAAGAAAAGAGAAGTAAGACTGAATAGTATTATATAGCTATCCATAAGTAAGTATAGACAAGTATTGTTACTAAGCTTTCAAGTATATAGTTACTTAAAGACAGTAGATTAAGCATGAAGAACAGAACTTAACTAAGTATATAAAAAAGTATTTTTATATATCTTATTCTTTCTATATTACTATCATGATATATTATACTATTAGCATATTATCTCATATCATCACCATGTCCTGGTCATAGTGTTGACATGTCGTAGCTTGTCAGTAACATACTGTCAATCACATAATATGTAGCCGCTCCGGGCGTCATGGCGGTAAGTCACAATAACAGTTCGGTCTTACCCGAGCGCTGCCCTTATCAGTGCTTTCTGCCTGGCGAGTCCGCCTTACTGGTAGTTCAACTAGCAGGGGTCTGTAACAAATATCTTAATTTAAAAGACTCTACTGAGTATAACTAATAATCAATTCAGAAGATCAAGCCTCAATATTAAAGTCTAATTACTGAATCTAATCAGAAATTCTGTATAGTATTAAGACTACCTCTATCTCTATCTTTATCTCTTTCTCAGCTTCTATCTCTTCTTCCATATCAAGCTATAAAAGAGTTATACAGGCTATCACTAAAAACCTTAATCTTTTTTAATTAAGCAGTTATTTCATGATCATGGTATCTAGAGATTAGAATTACATGTTCTGGGGGTTTAATATTACTTACACAGGCTAAAATTACTACACAACATATAAAAATTCAGATAATTACTAATTGTTAGGCGCTAGACCCAATCAGATTCTGCCAGGCAGAAATTAGTATTATAATAATATTAATATTAATATTGCTGAACTTCTCTAGTACTCCGTCTTCACTCTTTGGAGTAAGTACGCCATAGGGTAAGGGTAGACTGTAAATACCCTCCCTGTACGTACCTACACTAGATACTAGATACTTAGAGTTTGGGTTGACCTTCCAGAACAAATCTTACCATACCTATCGGGCTAAGTTGGAGGGTTCCAGTTTTCTGTCCACTCACCTTTGCCTATCTGGTATGGAAGACAATGCCCATGCGAAGAGGAAGGGCTGTTATATCATACTATCTACCAATAAGACACATAATTTCTCCTGCCCAAAGCGGTCTTCGTTCACTGAGGTTAGGTATGTGTTTTCTGATTCACAGCAGCGTGACCTATTGGTTTCTTGGTGGACCCGAAATTGGGATTTTCATCTTGGTCGGTATTCCGTAACGACCACCTCAAAAGTACCAAGTAGCTCCCGTCTATCGGCATAGGATGCCGTACTACTAGTACTATTGCTTTTCAGAGAAAAGCCCTGGGGACTACCCTCTTATGCTTTCTACCCAGACAGATTGTGAAATGTCAAGTCACGGGCCGTACTAATACTGTTACAAGAGTTCGAAATAGGCATTCCATCACGCGAAGATATACGGCTAGGTTTATTCTCTACTTGGGACAGCCATTTGCCTTTGCGTGGCTGAGCTTCGGCCTCAGAAATCACCAATGGAACTCCAGGATAAAAATTTCCACCACCCTTATTCGCCTTATGACATCCAACTCCAGTTGATGCGGGCGCTATACGCCTGTCTTGAGCAGGGGAAGGTCGCTGTTTTTGAGTCGCCTACTGGTAAGCTAGGTGGATCTCGAGTTAAAATCAGCTGCGGCTAATTCAGTTTGACTCAGGGACCGTAAGTCAGAGCTTTATTCCAGCTACACCCATCAGATTGCAAATGGCAGAGCAAGTTATTCCTTTGTCGCCATGATATGGAATATCTTCGTCTGGAACGCCCGGCTTTGGTGTACAAGCGAGGGAACCCATCGAAGCTGCCGTGACACCTCGGATCATAACTAAGAAAACTTCCAAATTCCTAGGGAAAATCTTTAAGTTTGATATGCGGTTCTCTGACGTGGTTACGAGATCACAAGCGTTCCGCCTTTCAGGCGGCTGTCAACAATGCTGCACGTTAGGCTCCTTGGTGTGGAATAGTTGAATCTCACCACTAATCATGCTTTAGGAGATGATGATGAACCTGAATGGATGTTAGACTTCGCTAAGCGGGAATCGAGCCGTGCGATGACTGAGAAGAGGAAAGAGTTTGAAGACAGACTGGAAAAGGCAAAAGAAGAAGAAGAAAGGCAAAGAAACGCAATTGAGGACCCCAAAGGGGCTCGAAAAAAGCAGGTACGAGGGATAATAACATTTGGCCTTTAGAAAGTCTTACTTAAGAAAATTACCTGCGCAGAAGTTCAGTACACCATCGACTGGTCCCCATGAGCTAAGTGAAGATCATTTTGCACTCGATGAATATGACAGCGAGAAGGAAGAGTACAAAGCGTCCCGGAATGGGCAGGATCATTCTAGCGGACTTTCCTCTAGTACGCTAGAATTATTGGAAAGGTTTAAAGGGCAATTTTCGACCACCAAGCTACGGAGTGAAGACGGTGAAAATGATGAGGTCCGGATCTTCTATTGCTCCAGGACGCACTCCCAATTAAGCCAATTCGCCAATGAACTGAGGCGTGTTACAATGCCATCGAGCGTACCCGAGGAACTGAGTGCTGGCCTAGCTGGGGATGAAGAGCTCGGGGAGCGTTTGAAGCATGTCACACTCGGTTCTCGGAAGAATCTTTGCATCAATCCAAGTGTTAGTTCGTTGGAAAATTCAACCGCGGTCAATGAACGTTGCTTGGATCTGCAACAACCTGGTGTGGCTCCTCAGCATAGATGCCCATTTTTGCCATCGAAAGAAGATGAAAGACATGTTTTTCAGTTCCGAGATCATGCGTTGGCCACGGTGAAAGATATTGAAGACTTGGGGAAACTCGGCAAGAGAATCGGAGTATGTCCCTATTATGCATCCCGATCGGTTGTCAAGCATAGCGAGGTCTGCTGCCTTCCAGAACTGTTCTCTTATTAGCCTTGTGACTGATGAGTGACAGATCGTGACACTACCATATCCTTTACTACTACAACGCTCGGCCAGAGAGGCCCTTAATATTTCTGTCAAGGGCCATGTCATTATAATCGACGAAGCCCACAATCTGATGGATGCAATATCTAGCATCCACTCAGTGACGGTGACGCTTTCGCAGCTTCAGACTTCTCTTTCCCAGGTGACTACCTATGCTCGCAAATTTAAAACCCGCCTGAAAGGAAAAAACCGAAGCTATGTTTCTCAGGTTATCCGGCTCATTGGTTCGATCGCCGCTCATCTTCGGTCAATCCTCGAGAGCGAAAAGGCTCGTGAAGGCCCTGTTCTGCCTTCTGATCTTATGTCCGGAAAGGGTGTCGACCAGATCAACCCTTATAAGTTGAGTCAATATCTCCAGGAAAGTAGATTGGCAAGAAAGGTTGATGGATATGTCGAGTTTTCCAAGGATCAGTCGGGCAGGCAGATGACTGGAAGCCCGGCGGTGCCTGTTTTATTTCACATACAGGGCTTTCTCATATCATTAATGAATCCTTCTGCCGAAGGACGGCTATTCTACATGAAGGATCAGGATGACATTCACTTGAAGTACATGCTTCTGGACCCTACCAACCAATTTCGTGAAATTGTTGAAGACGCAAGGGCTGTCATATTAGCGGGCGGAACCATGTCACCTGTAAGAGCCAGTGGTCCTCAATCACACGAACGCCCATCTAACGAACTCTGCAGATGACAGACTATATGGACCATCTTTTCTCCTACGTCCCAGCCGGCCGATTAGACACCTTCAGCTACGGCCATGTCATCCCATCTGAGAACCTGATTGCTCACACACTGGTACGGGGTGTCCGGCGCTCGGAGTTTGATTTCACCTATGACGCTCGTGATTCCGAGAACATGGTGAGAATATTTTAGACGTCCCACATCACTCGTTATTTCAAGGAAAGCTAACATCCCTTGCGTGAGCCAGATCATTGATCTTGGACGGACAGTAGCTACGCTTTGCCATGTCATCCCAGACGGCGTGGTTGCCTTCTTTCCCAGTTACGATTATCTTGGACGAGTCTTGAGCATCTGGAAGAAGCCGAAGCTGGGCGAGCAAGGCCAAACTGTCTATGGCTTGATTGAGCAGAAAAAGCCCATCCTATTTGAATCCCGAGACATGAAATTCACGACCGAAGAGCTGCTCCAAACGTATGCGAGCACCATCGATACAGGCAGAGGTGCGCTTCTCTTGTCCGTTGTGGGCGGCAAGCTGTCAGAGGGAATTAATTTCTCCGACAAACTTGGACGGGGCGTGCTGATTATTGGACTGCCCTTTCCAAACATCCGGAGTGCAGTCTGGCAGGCTAAAATCCAGTATATCGAACAAAAGACACATCGGCAGGCTACTGGCTCCGAGGCAAGCCGCCAGTCAACAGCAAGAGCAGCAGGAAGGGACTACTATGAGAACTCCTGCATGCGCGCAGTGAACCAGTGTATTGGACGAGCTATCCGGCACCGGAACGACTATGCAGCGATTGTTCTGTTTGATAGACGGTATGATAAACCTGGTATACAAGCCAAGCTACCTGCCTGGATCAAACAAAGCATGGTAGGGGGTTCGGTTCAACGACCCGCGGGTGCTACTGTTCAGAGCCTGGCCAAGTTCTTTGCGAGCAAGTGAGGCAGATGGGTCCGCAAAAATAGCTATGTCCTAATAAGAATTCCGCTCATGCTTCTTCATGCAGAATGGATATTTTACTTGTGTCGTTGGTCTTGCTAGGGTAGATGTGAGTAGGTACTAGTGGATCAAGAGAGATGCATTATGTAATCGGGCGGCGCAGGGAGGAGGGCACGTGAGACGAGGACGCCCCAGCCGCCAAGGGAGGCGACAGGGCTGGCCCTAAGTTAGGGCAAGCAAATTAGCGCACACTCTAGCCGCCCCGGGGCCTTGATTTCAACATCTGAGCCAGGAGTATACAGGACCGCATCCCCCCCTATCGCCAACTCTCTTGTCGAGCTCAGCACCGTCGACAAGATGCCTACCCGTTTCTCGAAGACCAGGAAAGCGTGAGTCGCACCACATTTCCCTTCGCCTCCGGTGGTCGACCGTCCCGTTTGTCGTGGTGAATATGCGACAGGCTGAGGCCTCGTCCGGCGACCATCCGCTCAATCTGCAGAACAACAAGAACTGACGCTGATCCCTTTCCTTAGCCGCGGTCATGTCTCGGCCGGTTACGGTCGTGTTGGCAAGCACCGTAAGCATCCCGGTGGTCGTGGTATGGCCGGTGGTCAGCACCACCACCGGACCAACCTTGACAAGTACCACCCCGGTTACTTCGGTAAGGTCGGAATGAGATACTTCCACAAGACCCAGCAGCAGTTCTGGAAGCCCACCATCAACCTTGACAAGGTACGTTGAAACCGATGTTGGAATTCGACCTGGACAGGAAAAAGGAACAGGAGCTTGGGGGATTACAGGGTACATGTTTGCCTCAAGACAACGAGATCGGATTGTGGTCAATGGGAGCGAAAGGACGAAAGGCTTTGGATACGCTGTGAAGGGCTTGGTTGGCTGATTGGTTTCCTTTCGATATAGCTGTGGTCTCTCGTTCCCGCCGAGAAGCGTGATGCCTACTTGAGCGGCCAGAAGACCGACACCGCCCCCGTCATCGACCTGCTTCCCCTCGGCTACTCCAAGGTTCTCGGCAAGGGCCGTCTCCCCGAGGTCCCCATCGTCGTCCGTGCTCGCTACTTCAGCCGGGATGCTGAGGAGAAGATCAAGGCTGCCGGTGGTGTCGTTGAGCTCGTTGCTTAAGTGTGGAAGTCTGGGATTTCACTTGGAGGATGAAAACCGGGACAGGTGCTGCGCTGGCTACGGTTCGGTGTAATAGAGTCGAATTCTCTCCGGGGAGTGAGACATCAAAAATGGGAGCCACGGATCGGGCACCTTCGTCCGTGTATCTACAAATAAAAAGGGTTTCTATTTGTGACGAGCAAAGCATGGCCTCCGGATGCCCTTACGACCTCGCTCTATTGAACAAAATACCATAAAGGAGGACTTCTTTTTTTTTTTTTTGTCGCTCTTGGATTGTGCTCCTAATGAAGCCTGTTGATAGGCAACTCCTATATTCGGAGATTTGAGCCAGACACATAAGTACCGATGTCCAAGAATGAGCCAACAGTTCTGGTTTATGGGATAGGTATTCTGGGCCTAGGTCCCAGTTTCTTGACTAGAATACGTAGACTACCGACCTGCCCCTTACTACCTGCCTAAGGAGGTGGAATTGTAGTTTCATTTCAGGTCAATTGCGTAGATATCTCACGGATGCTGCATCGTCCTGTGACAGGATCTACTAAAGGCCCTTTTATCTGCATATCAGTAAACCTTGCTAGTTGCAGTGGGCCAATAATGGCCCGATGATTCTTTGAACGACATGTCTAATCCTCTCTACCTATATGAAACGGCAGTAGTACACCAACGGGCAGCAATGTTCTAGATCTTTGATTCGCGCACCGACCCCACCTTTTCTAGTGGATTGCTACTGGCTTCCAGGGTTTCATAAATGAATCGCACCGCCTCAATGAACATTTTTGGGGTCATTTCGTGGGCGGCATCGTCATCGATAAGATCCTCGAAGGTAACTGCACCGTCCGCAAACCAACCACTTGGAGCAATCGCCTGTTTCCACCAAGTCAAGAATGCCTCCCCACGATGGTATGGTACTAACTTGTCTTTGCCGCCTGACAGGTTAAGAATGCGTTTTCCAGCTACACAGTGCGCCAGGAGTGGTCGCAATGCAGCCTTCTCACTCTCCGTCGGCTCTGGTAATGGCCCGGTGTGAAGAGAACCCATGTCTGGCTTCGAACTCACATGGCTCAAAAACCGGCTCGCCGGGTCATACTTGCGGACTGCATCCACCAAGGAAGAGGGGAACGCTTCGGAGCCTAGGAACTGGGATCCGGGGATGTCGCTGTTTGTCCAAGACGGTAACTTCGACAGCCTTGCACGGTCCGCCATAAGACTTACGTAGTCAGGGCAGCCAATGACGATGACCCCGGCGCTTATGCGGGGTTCATGCAGAATGCAGCTCCATGCTGCATGCCCACCCAGAGAGACCCCCAACACCAGGTTATCGGAGATCTTGCGGTCAGATTGGGGGCACACAAAAGATGGGAGGTAGTCGATCAGAAGAGATACGTCTCGTGCGGTGCCCTCTAAACGGGGCGGTTAGATCACTTCAAGCTAGCTATATGACAGGGCGCTCACGAAAGATGGAGAACATATCTTGCGCATGTCGAGGATTTCCTTGTCTCCATGCTTCGTTGGCCAGCGGCTCCACCAACCTTGTCCCATGATTTCTTTGATCGAATGCGACGGCGATGAGACCCTTGACTTGTTGGCTGGGACTGGCACGAGCATCGTGGATCGTGGCGTTCCAGTTCGCGATGATGGTCATAGCAATGCCCGCCATGCGCTCTTGGGTTGCCCCTCTATGATGCAACAGCCAGAGACAGGTAATCTCGGAGGCTTGCTCCGGAAGTTCGTCAAGACCGTAGACCGTGGTAAGTATCCCAGCGATTGGGTATATCTTTCGGGAAACGGATGACGTGCCGGCGTAGCAGTTTGCATCGTCGAGTACCTTCAAAGGATCCGCCATGGTTGTCACTTATCGTTCTGTGTTGGGTAGGTGTCAGAATGACGGAGAGTCTGGGGTGCTCATGGGTTGGTCAGCTTCTCCAATTTATACCTCGACGGTACTTTGCCGAGGAGGTGCTGGGTACGGAGTACTAGTATGGGAAGGGCCCTTTTATCAAGTGTGATGGGATTTCGGCTAGCAGAATGACTGTGGGTATCTAGTGATACATACACCCGTTGGAGATATCGAGTAGTCCGCCTGGATAAGTAATCTGCTTTATCACACGTTTGGCTATGTTGTTTGTGCGTTTGTGTGTGTGGATATAAATCTAGTTAATACTTACACTTAGAAAGTTTCCTGTCTATGGAATATCTAGAGCAACGGAACATTTGTGCTGGGACGGCTCGTGTATGATATACTATATGAAAGAGAGATAAATGTTGGCAGCAGACTGCAAGAATCCCAAAAAGAACAAACAGGGGTTTGTACTCAAGAAGACACCTGAAAACAATAGAGACTGATAATATTTACAGTATTACAGCACCTGATCATTCATTCATTCATTCATTCATTCATTCATTCATTGCCCTCTTTCTTGTGATGCTGCGATAATTAATAGCAAATATCTCGGACGGAACAGGCAGATGTTCATCAGGCGGTAAGAGGGGCGGTAAGAGGGGCGGTGAATGCCTCAGCCTGAGTATCAGGGACCCGCCGATAACTTACATTCCCACATGGCATCAGTCTGATACGGTACGGAACATGTAATTCACCACACGGTGGCTGGTGTTGCTGCCTTGGTAGAACTCAGGCCTCCCGTTCCAAGAACTACCACCACGTAATCGGTACCTAAGTTAAGTACTCCCCAAGGTACATTAAGCAAGATAGGTAGGGAGGGACCCCTTAGGTTGTCGCGTTCTTCTTTTTTTACCCTTCTTTCCCCCATCCCAAGTCTCCATTACTCTGGAGCTCTATATCGGTGATTGAACCGAGGCACCGTCAATGCAGAGCGAACCCCGTTCCATCGCCCCATCAAGTCGAACAGCTCTCGCGATCGACCCCTTTACTTCGTCCAAGCCCGACTGCGCCAAAGCGGGCCTTCCGTCTCCAGTCGACCTGCGATTCTTCTATGGGGCGGACTCCACCGCGGCTAGGCATTGTCGCTGCTAACTCAACGCTCCTTTCACGTCCTCCTCTATCTACCTACTCCGTACTATCCCCTTAATAACTACTGGTTGTCGTCGATCAGTCTCTTCCGTCCCGGCTTCCGTGCGGTATAGAATGAATGTCCATCTAATTGAGATCCAAAGCGGGTTCTAACAGGATCTTCCCGATCCGCATGTACGCCGTTATCCCCCGCTCTTCTCCCACCCCTGAAAACTATCTCGCCTGTCCACTAACATTGCTTCCCCCCCCAACTAGCATGACCGATTATACAGTCAATCCTTTAGAAGTGAGAGGCTCTGAAAACACTCCCAATCGCTATTATTCGAGACAACCCGAACCGATGTCGTTAGACAGCCCGGAGCTGTCATCGCCGCTTCCGTCCCCGTCTTTGACAAGGGAAGACGCCGACAGAGCGGATGTAGCAAATGAAGGGGAGGATCAGGTGGATGGTACGCAGATTACAAGAGGAGTGAGAGGGACCCATCACGAAGCAAAGGGAAAGTCGCGTGCAGAACACGCCAGCGGTTCTTGGGAGGAGGAAATGGGGAATATCAGTCGCCCCGGCAAACCAGCCTCATTAAGCCTTCGACAGCCAAATGACGCAACGGTGAACCAGCAACATCCCGGAAGCCGAAAGTCACAGACTCCAATTCTGGGATCCTCTGCTTCGCCTCGCCGCCCAAGCGTGCAATTTACTCAAGACACTCCCGATGTCGACACTGCCAACCAATCTCAATCAAGACCCCCGTCTGTTAAAGGCGATGAGGTGGATTTGGGCCTTAAAGGGAAACAATCTTTACTTACGAAGTTGAAGTCCTTCGCAGCCTCGCCGTCGTTCACTTCCCACACTCGCTCAGCCAGTGGTGCAACTCTGAGCGATTTCAGAACTACGAACAATGACATGGCTACTCCTGGCTCAGAGAGGGGGGAGTTCCGCTTCCCGAATACCCTGGAAGAGGAGGGGAGCGATATTGATGCCGACGCCGAGGAGAGTGCAGGGGAACAACGCGCCCGCCAGCAGAAGAAGAAAAAGAAGCAGCCACGTCGGCGGCAGCAGGACGACTCGATGCCTCCAACGCAGCCAAATACACCCAAAGTCACGAGTCGACCGTCGTTTCATCTCCCAAGCTCGTTTGCTCCCTTCGAAAACTATCGCCCGAATTTTTTTCCACGAAGGGGCAGTACCGGTGATTTTACACACCAACATCGCGAAGGTGTCTCGGAGGACGAAGGTCGCGATCGTTTGAACAAGGATACTACGTGGAGACGGAGAAGCGCTTGGCTTGCCAATGCCCGGGGGCTTACCTACAGCGGACGCCAACTGGAAACGCAAGCAAATCCAGAGGAGAGAAGACCGAGCAACCTTAGACGGCTGACTGGTTTAGCTGGACCATCTGACAATGCAGAAGGGATAGCACCTCCGTGGCGGCGTCACCGAACTGACCGTGGCTCTAGTCTCAGTGCTCAAAGATGGCGGCAGATAAAGGCGGGTCTCAAGTTGATTGGACAGCGACGCAAGGTGGACAATACAGTAGACCATGCAAAATCGGCAGAACTGTTGGCCGAGTTGACCTCCGGGGTGCCGGCCGCCTTGATACTGGCTAGCATGTTTCAGCGGGATGAGCACGGCAGCAAGCGGATTCCCATCCTCCTCGAGCAGCTTAAAGTGCGTGTCACCGATAGCAAGATTGACTCCCATTCCGGGGACCGCCATCTCGTCTTCCGTATCGAGCTTGAGTACGGTAGTGGTATGACACGGATGAAATGGGTTATTTACCGAACCTTAAGGGATTTTGCGAATATCCACCTAAAGTACAAGCTGCATTTTGGAACCCAAAAGTACATTCAACTGCGAAACACCGAAGGCGGGCAGAACCTTCCGCGCTTTCCTCGAAGCGCGTTTCCCTATCTTCGAGGCGTGCGCGGGCTGGAAAGTGACATGGAGGATGAAGAAGATGACGGTGGCTATGAGACAGCAGCAGAAGCCACTAGTGGTAACGAGCGGGCTGGGAAGAAGCCGCAGCAAGCGCATCGCCGTTCGTCGGGTGGCTTATCTCGGAGACAGTCAAACGCAACGAACCCTGAAGCGGAGGGTGCTGCTGGAGCCTCGGGACCTACGGAAGCAGGGCAAGCAAGTAAAAAAGAGAGCTATCCAGAGAGGCAGCGGAAAAAGCTTGAGTCCTATTTGCAGAAGTTGATTCGATTCCTTATATTCAAGCCCGATAGTAATCGCCTGTGTAAGTTCCTGGAACTGTCGGCCCTTGGTGTTCGTCTTGCAGCCGAAGGTAGCTATCATGGCAAGGAAGGCTTTCTGGTCATTCAGTCATCTAAGGGTCTTGATTTCCGGCGGGCATTGACTCCAGGCATGGTGAAAAAGCGACACTCTCCCAAATGGTTCCTTGTCAGACACAGTTATGTTGTCTGTGTCGACTCCCCAGAGGAGATGAACATTTACGATGTGTTCTTGGTGGACCCGTTCTTCAAACTCCAAACCCAGAAGGTCAGCTTAAGAAATCAGAAGGCGAAGGATTTTGCCAAATCAGCGACGGAGTCAGCCAGACACCCACAACATCATACGTTGCGTCTTGAGAACTCGGAGCGCAGGCTTAGACTGCTGGCCAGAAATGAGCGTCAGCTCCATCAGTTCGAAGACTCTATCCGATTCATGGTCAACAACACCCCGTGGGCAAGACCGAACCGGTTTGACAGTTACGCCCCGGTGCGACACAAGTGTTTCGCACAGTGGCTGGTGGATGCGCGCGATCATATGTGGGTTGTATCACGGGCGATCAACCAAGCGAAGGATGTCATCTACATTCATGACTGGTGGCTGAGTCCCGAGCTCTACATGCGTCGACCTGCAGCCATCAGCCAGAAATGGCGTCTGGATCGCCTCCTTCAACGGAAGGCCCGTGAAGGTGTGAAGATCTTCGTCATCATGTATCGGAACATCAACTCCGCCATTCCCATTGATTCGGAGTACTCCAAGTTTTCTCTTCTGGATCTCCATCCAAACGTCTTCGTGCAGAGGTCGCCGAACCAGTTCCGACAGAACACCTTCTTCTGGGCGCACCATGAAAAGCTTTGCATCATCGATCATACCCTGGCTTTCGTAGGAGGAATTGATTTGTGCTTCGGGCGCTGGGATACGCCACAGCATCTCCTCACGGACGACAAACCCACCGGGTTTGAGACACCAGATGGGCCGAAAGATGCGGATCATTGCCAGCTCTGGCCCGGAAAGGACTACTCGAACCCTCGGGTGCAAGACTTCTACGACCTCGACAAGCCCTACGAGGAGATGTACGATCGCAATGTGGTCCCAAGAATGCCCTGGCATGACATCTCCATGCATGTAGTCGGCCAACCGGCTCGGGACCTCACTCGCCATTTCGTCCAACGATGGAACTACATCTTGCGACAGCGGAAGCCCACTCGTCCCACGCCGTTCCTACTACCCCCGCCGGATTTTGAACCAGCCGACCTTGAAGCCCTCGGTCTCGATGGTACCTGCGAAGTGCAGATCCTCCGGTCCAGTAGCATGTGGTCGACTGGTACACCGGACATTACGGAGCATAGCATAATGAACGCCTATGTGAAGTTGATTGAGGAGTCGGACCACTTCGTGTACATTGAGAACCAGTTCTTCGTTAGCACTTGCGAGATCGATGGTAGGAAAATCGAAAACTCGATCGGCGATGCTCTCGTGGAACGGATCACCCGGGCTGCAAAGAACAAGGAAGCGTGGCGGGCTGTAATCGTCATTCCACTGATGCCGGGGTTCCAGAACACCGTGGACAGTGAAGGTGGAACGAGTGTACGTCTGATAATGATGTGCCAGTATCGCAGCATTTGCCGTGGTGAGACGTCCATCTTCGGCCGGCTACGGGCGTTGGGGATCGAACCCGAAGACTACATCCAGTTCTTCAGTCTTCGAACCTGGGGCAAGATCGGTCCTCAGAAGCAGCTGGTCACCGAGCAGCTTTACATCCATGCCAAGTGCATGGTCGTGGATGACCGAGCCGCTATTATTGGGTCCGCAAACATCAACGAACGCTCAATGCTGGGGTCTCGAGACTCAGAGGTTGCAGCGGTCGTACGTGATACCGACATGATATGGTCCTCCATGAACGGTCGCCCTTACCTCGTGGGACGATTCCCACACACCCTCCGCATGCGCCTCATGAGAGAGCATCTCGGCATTGATGTCGATGAGCTGATGGAGCACTCCATGGCGACGGAGGAAGAGCTCCGCAGGATTGAAATCGCCGAAGAAGGGTCCAAACCCCCCGAAAGCCAGCTCGACTCGGAATCTCTTATGCTTGAGAAAAAGGACGAGAGGGACATGATTGAGCGTCGGCACCGCCTTCAAGACGAGTTCCTCTCCCGGTCTGAAGACATGCATAGTTTCAACCATGACGTTGACTGGGAACAGGGAAACAATCCAAACCTCAAGTCGAATCGAAAGCTCACTGCCGATCCGAGAGTGACCTCCAATGCCGAGCACAAGAAGGATGTGGACGGCTTTGGCCCAGACAATCTTACCACGGCCCAGGGGGCTGGACTGGGCGATGCCCGCGATTCTGAGTTCATGGGCGCGAAGACAGAGGTCTTGATCTCTCCTATTGCATCGGAAGGCAAGGGCACTATTCAACAGCCGAAACACCCATTCCAACGCAATGCCCATCGAGAAAACGCCGCCGGCGATAAAGAAGCTAAGCCGACTTTAAAAAATATCCTTGATGAGCAGGGCAACGAGGCGATGCCGGTCGTGGAGGGGCTGCCAACTGTTCGTCATCCGGCACTGGCGTCGGAACAGGAGATTGAGAGTAACAATAGCGGTAACCTGGTGGCATCGCGGGATAAACATGACCCTGTTAAGTCAGCGCATCTGTTTGCCCCAGATTTGAAGCATATCTTTATCGACAAAGATTGTATGCGGGACCCTGTGATCGACTGTTTCTATCTGGATACCTGGCAGGCTGTTGCGGATAAGAACACCAAAGTCTACCGGAGTGTCTTCCGCTGCATGCCAGACAGTGAAGTGAAATCGTGGAAAGAGTACAAAGAGTATGCCGCTTATGCAGATCACTTTGCCGAAATGCAGAACCAACACAGTGCCAAAGCATTCCAGCCCCCCGGCCAGAGGCAAACTGGGCCACCAGGGACAGGAGCTAGCGTTGCTGGAGCAGCAGCTGGGCTCAAGCACAACCTATCGGTGCATGTTCAGAGTACTGATGGACAACAGAAGGAACAGTCACCCGTGGAACGGAGCGAGCCCCGGGTTGCAGAATCGGGTCAAACTACAGACGCGCAACATCCTGAACTCGCCAACCCTGAAGGTCTGCTGCCATTAAACGAGAAATCCACGACGAAGGTGGCAGATGGGACGGCAGCGGGGAATTTGCCGAATGGACGACATGAAGAAAGTGGCTCGTCCGGCGAGGATCTGGAGAGACAGCGCTCTGATCCTCCGCTCGTCGATTATTCCGAGGCCTTGAATCGGAATGCCACCGGCCAGTCTCGACGTCGCAGACGAAGAGCGACGACGCTCGGCTCGAAGCGGGAGTTCCATGCGACCGATGAGGTAATGGACAAACAACGGGCAGAAGAACTCTTGAATCATGTACAGGGACATTTAATTCTGTGGCCCTATGACTGGTACGTAATTCGCTGCGTTGTGCGGTTGGCATCATTCGGCGGCTACTGACTCTATGACCTATCTAGGCTTGAGAAAGAGGAACAGGGCGGAAACTGGCTTTATACACTGGATCAGATCTCTCCGCTGGAAATCTAGTAAGTCCATGCCCGCAATTTGGTGCGACTGCATCATATTCTAACCTTCAATAGCAACTAAACCTATATCCACCTGTACACTGTCCACTCGGATCCCTTCTTTCCCTTGTTCCGCACTTGACACGGCAGACTTCTCTGGACTCGACGTAACTAAACACGGTCCTCTCAGCTCCCCCCTCTGGTCGACATCTCCCTATTTCCTGGGCTTACGTTATCATCCAAGCCTCTCCTGTAGTTGATGTTACTTTGGTCCTTCCCCAAGCATGAATGGTTGGCCGCTTCGGGTGGCCTTTGTCAGCCTCTGCATAGCAAGCGGGCGTTTTTATCTGGGCTTTTCTTCTTTCTGTTTCATTTTCTCGATATCACTCAATGCCTTACTGATCCTGGTGTTCTCGCGCGTGTCGGCAGCATCGGGCGTTAATAGACTTGGATGTTGATTATTCTTTCGGGGAAGTCTATATATAGGGCCACCGGGGACAAGGGCCAGTCTATGATGTTTGTGCCCGAGAAAATGAAAACTCTAGCCCAGGATCCATGATCTAAACCAAATGCCGTATTTTACGTATTCGTCCCCCCTCCCAACGCGAGTCGGCTGCGTACATCGTTGAAATCATCGAAGTTGGCTTGCAGGACACGACTCAGCACACTGCAATCTGGATCAACCGGCATGCACCTCTCCCACATGTCGAGAGCCGTTCTGAGACGCTTGCAGGTGCCCGCCAACGCGGACTGTAGAGCCATGGTCTCGATACAAAAACGGCCTAGGTCGTCCATATAGTTGGTGGGGTTCTGCAAGCATAGCCGTGTAGCCGCAACCCTGTTGCCTCTGGTTGCGGCAGTTCTCTTCAGGTTAATTATAGCTCTTTGGCCACGCAGATGGGCAGGGATATCGTCCAGGCCGTACATGCGGCTGGCTGTTTTGATGGTGTCTGCATCGAAGAAACCCGGAGGGTCGACGGAGATACCGGTCGTCGTGAGATCGACTTGGGTGCCGTACATTTGCAAAAAAGCAAGGAGCGTCTCTCCTAAACTATCGGTTTGTCGGAACCGGCCGTGGCTCATCTTCAAAAAGGCCACGACAAGCATGACAAGTGCCTCGGATCTGACGGACGATGCGTGCCGGCCATACACACCTTGAGTTTCGAGGATAAGTCGTGTAGCCATGTAGAGAGGCCGAAGCGACGGGTACTCGGCACAATAATCCTTGATATACTCGATTATTGGGGGTGTACCTTCACCACAATAGAAGCGAAGCCGGAGACCCGTACGGGTATCGATAGCTGTGATGGAGTCCAGCTCTGTTGATTGGTAAATGCGGTGGCCAAAAGATGGGCATTTCCGGAGTGCCTGTTCAACATCGCGTAGCAGGCTCCTATGTTGACCCAGGGCCTTGGGGCGCGTGGCGCTTGGCTTTCGAATATTTTCAACGGATCGTACCGAGTCAGGGACGGGCAGAAGAAGGTCTAGATCGGAGTGACTCATGGCCAACCCGGTTCGCCATGACCCGATGATAAAGGGAGGATGGGGCACGGTGCCTTCAAGACGACGGGTAACGTCCGCGGCAATCGTATATACCTGCTCCTCCTCTGGTGGGGTGGGCATGAGGTATTTCTCAAGTGCGCAGATCTCGGCATCCAGCTGCGAGAGGCCATCACTGAAGGGCCGGTCGAAATCCAAGTCTTCTAACCACGGCGATTGGTTTGATCGGCCTGTTTTGGGGTCGGAACACCACTGTATGGATCGATGTGGGACAGTGTGTTGGAAGGAATGGGAGAGTTGGTTGGGTTTCGGAATGGAGCGAGGTTTCCTTTTGGGGCTTCTCGGGGTCGAGGGAGGCGTGGAAGTTACATCTGCGGTCGGCAAATCGCCGGATGAGCCATCGCTCTTTGTCACATCCTCTAGGGTGTCATCGTGATCTGCCTTGTATGGTATCCTGCGGATTAGACTGGCTCGGTTCAAGGACCGATGCGCCTCAAGGGTTTTCTGCAGGCTATTTTTGAAGATTGCTGAACCCTTGGAGCTTGAGGAGGTTTTGTGGAAGCATCGCGCCTGAGACAGAAATACAACAGAGCGGTTCAGACGAGAAGAAACTGATGTGGAAGAGAAGGAATGGCGTTTCGAGGGACAAAGGGTGCGCATGACCGCGCATTCAGCAAGGCAATGAAGGCATTGCGGATGAAGCGTTGCAACCCGGGGCATAAACCGGACAGGGAAAGATTCACGGTATGGCAGGACTAATTGGCGCAGGCCTGGAACAGACTAGATCGACGAGAATCGCCGGGGTCAATAATTACTCGGGGAGAATCGGACAGACGGAGACGTTGAGGTCGAGGAATAATGTCAATCCTGAATCCAGATGCCAGATGTCAGGTGATGTTGCACTACACGTGACCATGGGCCGTGATCTGGCCAGCCCTAGGTAGGTTTTCACATGTCACACCCCCCTGCCGGAGGACGATCTGGAATCTCGATCCTCGAATCTCCAATCTCGCATCTCGACCTCTTCCTTTCTTCTTCCTCCGTAGTTGGACGGAGGCGAGATTTTCATTCATTCTTTTTGTTTTTCGCCCTGCGGCTGACATTTCCGGTGGACCCGACGGCATATGATTCATTATCGGGGCAGTCAAGTCGTCAGGAAACAAATTGGGTGATCTCCGGCTACATGCCAGCTCTGGATCCCTGCAATGTGCTCATTATTCATGGTCTCGTCGATGCCACCAGGAGGTTTATTCTCCCAACCGATCAGGCATTCTTGCAATGCACTAGGCCCAACTTCCCGGGATATTGTCTAGTAGCTTGCCAACGGACTGACATGGTTGTCTACCTAACTTCCTCTACCCAAGATTACTACTCCTGTAACTAGCCGTACCCTGTAGATGGTGGTAGAGAGAGAGAGAGAGAGAGAGAGAGAGAGAGAGAGAGAGAGAGAGAGAGAGAGAGAGTTCAACTAGTTGTCAATAATTATCAGCGGTCAATTCAGTTCCGAACTGCAGCTCGGATCATGACGTATGGGGGATGGCGGGGAACGGAGCCGGCCATCAATTGCTTTCTTCGGTGAACAATAATAACAACAACAACATCATCATCATTATTATTACTATGTATCATCACCCCCCACCACCACGACGGAGTACTTACCTACCTACCACTTAACCACTACTATTCACTACCTATCCACTATCCTCGATCCACCATCCATCATGACTCAACCGGTTTCCTTGCGGAACTTGGATGGATGGCTTTCCTCCCCTTTCCCACTGGATCGAACTGCCCAGTCGCAGTCCTCCTGATCCCCTCTCTGGCGCTATAATCCCCACCCGTTATATGCTTTCTTTTTCCTTCCACCTCTCCATCCGCCGCGCCTGGAACGTCTTGGGCCTATCGCTCCCCATCTCTCCCGCGACCCTTTCTCTGCCTCTCTCTCCCCTTCTGCGTCCTTCTATCTCGACCCGTGCATGAGGGATTGGTTGTTTATAAGCCTACCCTGCCGACGGACCCCCGACCAGCTGATGACAGGCTTGCCCGCTTGCATACCTGTTTGATTGCGCTATTGGGGTGATTGGTTACTATTCCGGGATTGTTTGGGAAGGGCTCCGGACCAGCGGTGGTGGCTCTGGTAGTTGAGATAATTTCCCGCCGACTCTGCAGACGCCTACCGGCCTATCTCCCTACCAACTACCTAGGGCTACTTATCTCTCTCGCATCTCGGGAGAGGAGGGGTTTTTTTTTAGATCGGATCTGTAACAAATTGCCTTTTTTATTTCTGGTGGTGGGTGCTGCCTTTTACTGCTACTATCTCTTTACTTTCTTCCTTCTTGTTCATCATCAACCCCACCACCATCATCATCATCATCATCATCATCATCATCATCTTCATCATTCCCGCCTTCACCGCCTCCCGGCTCCGACGCCTCTCTGGTTGTGGTTCTGGCTCTGGCTCTGCTTTGCCGGTGGTGACTACCCCTCATTACTATTATTGAAACGCTTCTTTCCCATTTCTTCCCCCCTCCATCGGTCAACCAGACACTCTCTCGCGCGCGCTCTGTCGGAGAGATTGATTGCATTGCCCGAGTCCATCTTCTACTTCTGCACCGGATCTGCCTTCTTACAGTGCCCACTTTTCCACCTATGGCCTAGTTCGCCTTCTTTTGGCCGGCCATTTCCCTGTTCCAACCCCACCAAAACTCCAGACCTCCCAGGTACTCCGTCTCCAGCTTATCTCCCTCCTTCCCAAGTCCCCCCCCCTCTCTAATCTACGTCGAGATACCTCAACGCTTCCTCCCCTCCGGCCCCTCCGTCCCTCAAACCAGAGTACTTTATCGTTCCCCTTTCAAAACCTGACGTGTTTCCCCCCTCCTCCCTTCTTCCAAAAAAAAAAAAGAAGAAGAAATCAAAAGGAGAAGAAAAAAAAAACTAAATAACCACCAGAGCATTAAAAGGCAGAAGAATAATGTTTTCATTTAACTGACCCTGGATTTTCCCAGATTGACTGCGGACTGGTCCTGTTCTGACCGGCACATACCTCTCTGACTCCTCTTCGCCGTATCCGTTTCCGTCATGGCCACCGAACAGTGGACTGCCGCCGTGCCCGATGGTCAGCCCAATCCGGGTCCCATTGGATCTGGCGTGAATGTGCTGGGGGAGGATGCATTTTTGAATGCCTCAAATGCCACCCCGGACCTGCGTGGTGAACAGGCACAGCCCTCCATTCTCCCTGATGCTCCTTCCTACTTTTCTGAATCCCCTGGGAATCACGCCTCGCCGGCCCCTCTAACTGTTACTTCCCCCACCACCCCAGCACAGGCAGCCAAGGACGCGAAGTCGGGCGTTGAGTTGTTGCGTCGTTTGAGCCTGAGAGGGACCCCCACCATGTTGGACACCGACCCCCGAGAACAATACCCCAGCCTCCGTCTTACCGGCCGAGTCATCAGCGCTGCGTTCTGTATCCCATACAAGCTTTATCTTCATCCTGGGTCCGACTGGGTAAGCCTCCCTCCACTTGGGGTCGATAAGAAACGTGACTGACCGATTGCCTCGTAGGATCTCAAACCCCGTCCAGGAACTTCGGCTCTATTTGATTCTTTGGCGTATCTTGGTTCTGATGAATCGAGATGGTCCCATACCCTCGTTGGCTGGACTGGCGAGGTCGAACCGGCCCATGAGACAACGAAGCCTTTGCAGCAAATCCCCATCAACACGAGTGCCAAGCTGCCGGCCACCCTCAACGGCTCGGCCCTACCCCTCAACAAAGCCGCAGCACCCGTGCCCGTAGATGCCAGCCAACGCCAGCCAAGTCACCCCCTTCTGGAAGGGTTCAGAGTGGACCAAGAGGACCGAGCACGGCTGGATACGCAGCTGAGTTCCAGCCGCTACGGTAAGATCGTCCCCGTCTGGTTGACAGGCGAATCCGAAGTCCCTGACGACACGGTTTTCTTGGATGATCAAGGGAGCTGGAGGCGTTACGCGGAGAGGGAGCTATACCCCCTCCTTCATTACAAGCAGCACGGTCCCACAGATGGCAAATCGGAACGCAAGTGGTGGGCCGACTACGTCCGTATGAATCGTCTCTTCGCAGACCGGATTGCCCAGGAATACAAGGAAGGGGACATTGTCTGGATCCACGATTACCACCTATTTCTGTTGCCCAGCATGTTGCGCCAACGCATTCCCAACGTATACATTGGCTTCTTCCTGCATGCTCCATTTCCTAGCAGTGAGTTCATGCGTTGTCTAGCCAAGCGCAAAGAGGTGCTCACGGGGGTCTTGGGTGCAAACATGATCGGCTTCCAAACTTTTTCGTATTCTCGCCACTTCTCCTCATGCTGCACTCGTGTCCTTGGCTTCGATTCCAACTCAGCCGGTGTTGACGCGTACGGCGCTCATGTGGCCGTTGACGTCTTCCCTATTGGAATCGATACCAACATGATCCAGAAACTAGCCTTCGGATCCACCGAGATTGAGAAGGCTGTCTTGGGTATCCGCAAACTCTATGAGGGGAAAAAGATCATCGTCGGCCGTGATCGACTGGACAGTGTCCGCGGGGTTGCTCAGAAGCTACAATCCTTCGAAGTGTTTCTGGAGCGGTATCCGGAATGGCGTGACAAAGTCGTCCTTATTCAGGTTACCAGCCCAACTAGCGTCGACGAGCAGAAGGAAGAGAACAAGATCGCCAGTCAAATCTCTAACTTGGTCTCCACCATCAATGGCCGATTCGGGTCATTGAGTTTCGCACCCGTCAAATACTACCCCCAATACCTTTCCCCGATTGAGTACTTCGCACTTCTGCGTGTTGCTGACGTGGGGCTCATTACGACGGTCCGGGACGGTATGAACACGACAAGTCTGGAGTACATTATCTGCCAACAGAATAACTTTGGCCCCTTGATTCTTTCCGAGTTCTCTGGAACAGCGGGTACCCTGTCCAGTGCCATTCACATCAACCCATGGGATACCGTCGGAGTTGCGGGTGCCATTAACAAAGCCCTAACAATGTCCCCTGAGGAGAAGATATCGCAGCACCAGAAGCTTTACAAGCATGTTACTGCCAACACAGTCTCGTCCTGGTCAAAGCAATTTGTCACACGTCTCCTCACTAACCTGTCGTCGTTCGACCAGTCGGTGGCAACGCCAGCACTCGATCGAGCTAAGCTAGTGAGGCAGTATCGTCGGGCTCGGAAGAGGCTGTTCATGTTCGATTATGATGGCACTCTCACCCCGATCGTAAAAGACCCACAAGCTGCTATTCCGTCGGATCGTGTCCTACGGACCATCAAGAGCCTTGCCGCAGATCCCCGGAATGCTGTTTGGATCATCAGTGGACGTGACCAAGCTTTCTTGGATGAGTGGATGGGCCACATCCCAGAACTCGGACTGAGTGCAGAGCATGGGTGTTTTATCCGCAAGCCGCACTCCGATGACTGGGAGAACCTCGCTGAACGGAGTAATATGGGCTGGCAGAAGGAGGTCATGGAAACGTTCCAGCACTTCACCGAACGGACGCAGGGCTCTTTCATTGAGAGAAAACGAGTAGCCCTGACTTGGCACTATCGCCGGGCAGACCCCGAGTACGGGGCATTTCAGGCCCGCGAGTGTCGGAAGCAGCTCGAAGACACCGTCGGCAAGAGATGGGAAGTTGAAGTCATGGCCGGCAAAGCCAATCTCGAGGTACGGCCGACGTTCGTCAATAAGGGATTCATCGCAACTCGCCTGGTCAATGAGTACGGAACGGGGCCTGGGAAGGCCCCTGAGTTTATCTTCTGCTCTGGAGATGACTTTACCGATGAAGGTAAACTCCCCTTTACCCGCAGAGCATTTCCTTGCCCTCTTAGTCGTGACACCCAACACTGTCCCGGTTGTTACGTTTTCTTAACTGGCTAACGTGGTTCCTTTTCTTTCACTGCAGACATGTTTCGTGCCCTGCAAAAGTTCGACCTGCCGCAAGATCACGTCTACTCGGTCACCGTCGGCGCGAGCTCGAAGCAGACGGCTGCCAGTTGGCATCTCCTGGAACCGGCGGACGTGATTGAGACCGTCTCGATGCTCAACAGTAGCTCGTGCTCCCAGGAGTATTGAGGTCCGGTCCTTGCTCTCTGATGCTGAAGCGGGACAGGTTCCTACCGCAACCGCCCGGTTTTCGATTTATCTCATGTCATTATTGATATATATTTCATTATTCTGTTCCGGGCGTAGAGGTGATGCAGTGGCGGCGGCTATTTGTTAGAGGGCGTCACGAAGCGGGTGCGAATTCGGCATTGGCATGAGCTTCAGTATTGGATTCTGGGGGACCGTTCAGCCATTAGCGAGAGTCCGACATGGGGGTTCTTCCTTCCGTTTCTTTGCGACCTTGATTTCGAAATTTGATTCCAGCATGATTGCGTTACGCGTGCGCGACGCAGAGCATGGGTGCCTGTTTATTGTTCTTTTAGTTGACTATATAGACGGGTCGACGAAGCTTGGCCGATGCCCTCCCTGGTTGTAATATGTTAGACGAGAATAGAAAATAACAGGTTACCGGGCATGGCCAGAGGAGACGTGATCTCCCCCCTTCCTTCATGAGTTGACTTGATCCCGACGGGTCTAAGGTCGTTGCTGCTCTAGCAGGACGGCGGTCCCGATGCTACCTACTATTAATTAGTGACGATTCTCTGACTTCTTGACATCCCCTCCCCCCTGCGCGCGCCCTGTCATCGTTGGGTTTCGGCACTACTATTTTTTTCTAACCATGCACTCGCTGTCGGTGTTCCTTTGTTCCTCTTCTGGTCTGCCCTTGTCCACCCCAAGCACATTCATGAGCGTGCCCATCCCCATTACCCTCCCCAGCCCCAGCCCACCACCGATCCCAGCCAGGTTGCAGGCCGGGTATTTGACTATGTTGTCGCTGGCGGTGGTCTGACGGGTCTTAAAATTGCTGGTCGTCTGATGGAGACATCGCCTGCTACCGTGCTCGTTATCGAGGCCGGCTACTTCGATTCGGACCGAGGAGCCTTCATTACGAACCTTACGGAGTATGCCAAAGCATTTGACTCATCCCTTGACCAAGCCTATAAACTGTTCGTTTAGCCGTCAATAACCGCACGGAGCTGATCCATTCGGGAAACGGACTTAGGGGCTCAACTCCTGGGAGACAGTCTTTGGCAACAAGGGTTGGAACTGGGGCACGCTGAGTCGGTATATAAAAAGAGCCGAGCGAGCCTGGCTGATCCGCCAAAAGAAGCAATCGAACCTCTATATATTGACTGTGTTGGGACAGTCTTTGTTCCGTCTGTTCTCCAGATGCCAGCGGTATATCGTTTTGGTCTACTGGTATGAACGTGACAACTGGATAGATGGTCGGGAAAGTGTTGATCACGAAAGCTGACCACAATGTTCCTAGGGTAGTTGGTATCGAGTTTGGCACTCACAATAAGCATAAATATGGTTCCTACTAGGCGGGTGGTTCTGCTGGCAGGGGGGGTCATTGTTCGGTGGGCATCCAGCAAATCGTTGATCGCCCTGTTAGACTGAATCTCCAGGACCAGGCCAGAACTCATGTGCAATTCCTACGGCGGAAGCCGGTGCGGGCCAAGGACAGGCCATCCACTTTGCAACATTCAACGACACATTTGGCAATTATAGCCAACAAGCTCACCAACATTTGCAGCCGGAGAATCTTCGACGATGGGCCGATGCGACAGTCACCCAAGGCAGCGAGCAGGTGCCCCAGACCCAATACGAGACCTATCGCCGGTGGCTGACCGAGGATGTCGTTTCCTATTCCGAGGTTCTTCTCGACACTAATGGTCAGATAGACATCACTGCAAGGTCCCTCCTCCCCTTCACCCGGGGTTCTGTGCACACCCTGGACCGGGACCCGTACCTCCGCTGGATAGCCTACGATTCACCATACCTCTTGAATTATCTGGACAGCTTGGAGCAGGCAGCTGCAACCAAGTTGGCACGGAAATTATTCCGTGAAGACGCCATGAGCCGGGTGTATGGCGTGGAACGATTGCGCGTGGTGGATGCGTCGCTGGCACCAACGCAACTGTCGTCGCATCGATGTCCGTTCTTTATGGCGTGGCGAAGAATATTACGGAAGATATTTTGGTGAACTACATGCGAGGGAACATTTGGGAGGATGCTCCGAACTGGTATAGCTGGCTTGAGTCAATGCATTGTGGGAATGGACAATACCGCCGAGATGGCATGCTCTCGGTAAGACATGGTATATAGGTAACATTCTCCTTTTATTTTTATTTTTATTTTCATTTTCGTTTTTTTTTCTCTTGAAAACCCAGGCGATGAGGAGACGCAGGAGGTAGTATAATAAATAAATAACTTCTTAGTAGTTTAGGCATGACGCATGGAGATTGGAACGAGCCCTATGGAGTATACTACTATTGATTGTATACTACTGTAGGACGGACATAGATACGGTATGGGACACGGCCGGACCGTATCGGCAGGTATTCTCAGCCCCCCCTCCCCCCTCCCCTCTCTCTCTCTCTCTCTCTCTCTCTCTCTCTCTCTCTGTGTGTGTGTGTGTGTGTGTGTGTGTGTGTGTGTGTGCACTTGTCCATCACCGGCCAGTCATACAGGGATGACTATCGCAGAATCAATCAGATTCCGACTCGAGCTGGTAATGGCAGCCAGGTCAATTGAGTCCACCCAGCAGGCCAGACAGGGATCCATAGTCCCCTCCGCAGTGGTGGTGGAGATAGTATCCACTCCATCCCATCGTCCCAGCGCAATCTGGGGTATGCCTCAGACCATGACCATGTCACCACTCACCACTCACCATGGTGCACAGTGACGAGGGGGCTTCCCCCTTAGCCTTTGCCCGTTGGACCCAGCCTGATCGTCATTCTTCAGCTGATTCGGCACGATACTGCCGGCCCTACCAGCCATCATGGCGGTTGCTTTCGGTCTTCTTTGCGAACCGCCAGAGCCCCAGCGTTTTCCCGAGTGCTACTACTTGCCGGCGTGACTCATGGCGTTGTTTCTGTCGTCCCTCTTTCCATTTACCCAAAGTGTTTTTATTCTTATTTTTTCAGCGCGGAATCCAAATGGTCCTGGGTAAGAGGACAGGTTTCTCAACGTTCTACAATTACGACCGATGCTGTGCGCTGGACGCTCCTTGAGTCATACGCACACGTCCGTTTTGCTTGATCGATCAATCCAAGACCTGGGGGATTAATGCATATTCCCTAGTGCCCGATTCTTGGGCCCTCTCTATTTCAACATCTGATCCTCACTCCTCGGTCTTTCGACACACTTTCACCCCGAGGGTCTGCTTCCATATTTCAGAGTGTCCTCATCACCCTACCCGGTTCTGTCAAGCCGTCTAATCGAAGCGCGAAGGGGCTTACTCTTCACGCAACTGGTCTGTCTTCGATCTACCAGGCAACACCAGCCTAACTACTCAATATACAAGAGAGCTTTACCGAATTCGTCATCCCTCAACTCCCGCGTAGATTTTCGCTCAAAATGGCGACTAATCCGTCGTTTGCTACTCAACCACACTTCCCTTTTTCTGCGGACGATGAAAAGGGCTGTTCCAATAGGGTTGCAAATGATCTTGCCCCTGGTCAGTTTCTTCCCCTGGGAAACAACAAGGGCAATGAAGAAATAGGTCTCAGTCATGGAGGAAAGAATGAGCTGTCTAAAGCCCCTACCAATGCCAGTCACGTTGGCACACTGGCCACCAGAACCTTGACCCTTGTCCGCACCAGGGAGTCTGGAAAGGACCTGGGACCTTCCCCCGATGGAGGCTTCAAGGCGTGGTCACAAGTAGCCCTGGCGCATTTTGTCATTTTCAACACTTGGGGTTACATCAACAGCTTTGGTGTCTTTCAAACTTATTATACCGAAGCACTCGGACGAACGCCGTCCGACATCTCTTGGGTAGGGAGTATCCAGATCTTCTTACTTTTCTTCATCGGGACTTTCTCTGGTCGCGCCACAGATGCTGGGTATTTCAAAGCCGTCTTGACCCTGGGGGCTGCTCTAGAGATATCCTGCATCTTCATGACCTCTCTCTGCACGAAGTACTGGCAGCTGTTCCTGGCTCAGGGCATTGGTCAGGGTATCGGCTGCGGGCTCATGTTCTGTCCGACTATTGCGCTCATTCCTACGTACTTTACCAAGTACCGCGCCATTGCGATTGGGATTACGGCTTCGGGTTCCGCCACCGGAGGCCTGGTTTTCCCAGCAGTCGTTATGCGACTGCTGCCTCGAATTGGGTATGGGTGGACGATGCGAACTTTGGGATTCATATCCTTAGCGACGTTGATTCCCTGCCTAGTTTTTCTCCAGCAAAGACTGCCTCCGCGCCGCAGCGGGCCCCTAGTCGAGTGGGGGGCGTTCAAGGAAGTCCCCTATGCTCTATTCGCTCTGGGTATGTTCCTCAACTTCTGGGGCATCTATGTGGGGTTCTTCTATATCGGTAGCTTCGCGCGTGACATCATCAGAGTTTCCAACTCGACCTCGATTGATGTCCTCCTGGTCATGAATGGAATCGGACTGTTAGGCCGGTTGATCCCCAACCTGATGGCCGACCGGTACACAGGCCCCTTGAACATGCTGATCCCGTTCAGCCTGGTGACGGGGATTGTGGCGTTCTGCTGGGCAGCGGTCAAGAGTTACAACGAGCTGTATGCCTTTAGTGCGTTCTACGGACTGGCTGCCGCGGGGATCCAGTCGCTCTTCCCTGCAACCTTGAGTACGCTCACCACCGACCTGAAGAAGACGGGCGTGCGAATGGGCATGGTGCTCAGTGTGGTAGCTGTCGCGGCCCTCATTGGCACACCAATCGCTGGGGCGTTGGTAGATCGAGATGATGGACAATATCTGTATGCGCAGATGTTCATGGGCAGTGCTATTCTGGCTGGGACCTTGACATTGATTGCGGCGCGAGTGACGAAGCAGGGGCTGGTCTGGCAACGCGTTTGAGGGCATGGGACAGGAATCCGGGGCGGGAATATGGGGTATAAGACTGAGACTCGGAGCTGAAGATATAAACCATCTACTATCTAGTAGTTGTTGGAATAGTCCTTGCGCAGTAGAGGCGAATAAGCCAATGACAGACCGCGTCTTAGTCAGGCCCTGCCCTCCCCGCCTGCTCTGGGCAACTGGCGGCGTGACTCAACCCCCTTCTTCTCTTTCTTCGTCTTCCTCTTCGTCATCTACTACTACGAGTAAATTTCCTGGTCGACCTTGCCCTTGCGGTGTCGGAGATTCTGGGCGGTGCCGCTGGTTTGTTTTCTCCCCCGCTTCGGTCCCTCCAAACGCCCTCAGCTGGTTTCAGTGGCTTGGAACCACAAACCTTCCGCCTCGGAGAAGAGACCCTTCTTTCTAGAAAACCCGCTTCCAAAGCGTTTGCCATCTCCTGCGTTCTCCTTCAACCGTCTTCCGCAATTCATACCATGGCACCCCGCGGCCGCGGAAAGTTCTCCAAGCCCTCGCGAGGAGGTATGTGAGCGGCACGGCCGCTGGTCCACAAGCACGAAGAAACTCAACTAACGACATCCACACGCACAGGCGGGAAAAGGTTCAGTCGGGACACCCAGCCTGTGGACAAAGATGGCAACCCTGTTGGTCTGTGGAGGGTAAGCATGCCCGGTTTCTCACCTGACTGTTCGAATCAACCTGAATCCCACCTTAACCCAACCGCCACCGCAACCAGGAACCCGACGATGCCATGCCCTCCTCATCACAAGAAGACGCATCTTCAGAATCGGAATCCGACGAATCCTCCGATGAGGAGAGACCTGGCCCCTCCGCCGTCTCACCCCCGACGGTCGCCACCGAAATGACGCGCGAGGAACGTCGCGCTGCCGCCAAAGCCAAGAAGCAAGCTGCGCAAGCAAGACGGCTACAAACCGCCGCACAGCCGGGCGATTTGCCCCCCTCCGACTCGGAGGGATCCGACAAGGAGGACGAGAACGACGACAATGAGGAGGATGAAGACCTCCCTGCCAACCCGAACCATACGACGAAATCTCGCTCCCAGCTGAGCGGTACCACCGACGACGCGGCACAGCCCGAGGGCGGGGATCTCTCGCAGCTCTCACGCCGAGAGCGCGAGGCGATCGAGGCGCAGCAGGCTCGGGAGCGGTACATGAAACTCCACGCGGAGGGGAAGACGGACGAGGCGCGGGCGGATCTGGCGCGGTTGGCACTCGTCAGGGAACGGCGCGAGGCAGACCGGCTTCGTAAAGAGGCCGAGAAGGAGGAGAAGGCTGAATTGGCGAAACAAAGGGCCGCCGAGTTGCAGGTCAAGTTGCAGGCCGCCAAGGGGAAGAAAAAAGGAGGTGCGAAGAAGAAATAAACTACAGAATAATGCCTCTTCCCTTTATCCTTTGATCCGTATATCATATACCATATCATATACCATGTCATCATATCATCATATCTAACAGTTCTTATATCGTGTTTCGGGTAGCGATTGAAGGGATGAGGAATTGTGCTTTTTTGTTGTCTGCTTTTCTCCCTTGATGCATGTGCAATTGGATTGAAGGATTACTTTTTTTTTTTTTTTTTTTTTTTTTTTTTGTTTTGCTTCGTGAGGCTCTTGGGTGAGGCTGTGATGGTGAGGTTGGACATACTTGCATGGTTGTCTACCGAAATGTCACGACAGATAAGTTTACATGATAAGCGACAGTGCTGGGGTAGATCTGGAAATCTGTATAGGAGCTATATAACCAGCTATGCTGTACAGTATACAACATTGTCTTTGTCATCTGCCCGAGCTTGGAGGCAGAGTACAGAAGAGATGAACAGTAAACCCGGATGCAACGACATTATGCTCCTTGAACCCATTCCGTTGACACAACATACGATTCATACCAAAAAGTCACCATATACACCGGCGCCAGAACGAAGCGGAAAATGGAAGAAAAAAGCTGGATTCCGGATGCATCATAGATGGTCACGACGGGTGCAGGAACGCCGTGGTTGACATGTTCCAGCACCACACGATTATGCTATGCTGCCGAGGTGATCATGCACCCCAGAAAAGACCTTCCACCCCCCCTCCTTGCATCACGACGCTCCATCCCGCAATCAGACTGACCAGCCACAGGACCACGAACGCCAGAATGGGGAGCAAGAGGAGCTCCGTGTTGTGTAGAAACGGGAGCGCGTTGTATCCGAGGAAGGTGATGTAGGTGTAGTACGTTAGCGCAGACAGGTAGAGAGTGTTTCCGAGGAAGGTGGCGAGGAAGTTGCTCGGGCTGCGCGTGAGAAGCGGGAGGAGCAGGAACTGGACAACGTAGAGATGTAGATACAGAGGGAAGAACGCCCGATTCGATACCTAAGACAAGTCGTTAACTGACGCCGCTCTTCTTGTGTTCATTGCCTCAAGGTAGATGCTACTTACATCGAAGCAGTATCCAAACTCCAACTGGTCCTTTTCTCCGGGTTGTGTGAAGAGGCCTTGCGCCGCGCCGCGCCTCCGTCCGCGACCGCCTCTGAATCCTGCCAGGGAAGCGGCCACGCCGTCGGGACCGAACAGCCGTGGGATCACAAAGTATCCAACTGTGGAGACCAAAAGGGAGGAGCCGATGAAGTGGAGGAAGATGAATAGTAGAGAGAGCCGGACGATAGCTCCGAAGGACGGCGCATAAGCGAGACCCCAGGCGAGGGCTGTGAGGAGGAGGAAGAAAGATAGTAGGTAGGTAAACGAGGGGTCAGGGCGGTGCCAGGTGTTTTTCGTTTCTAGACAATGCATCTTAGTATGGGGATTGTGGGTTGTTGGTAACAGGCCGGGGAAGCGGGCGATGATGGAATTGCGCGGTAGTTGGGCAACATACGTTTCTACAATTCGGGCATGGGGTCAGCATAATCGCACGCGGGCCATCTGGCAGCTTCCCATCGCACTCACATGGTAGTAGATCGACTTGAAGACCTTCTTCGGCGCAATCAACAGCGATGTCATCTCCCAGATGGCCATCTCGAAGTCCATCTGCGGGAACTTGAACAGTCTGAAACAAAGCCAGGGGCGTCAGCAGCAGGTTCATGAAGGTCTTGGAGGTCTTGGAGGCCCCATCGGATAAGCGCATCATAGAGCCCTCGCCGTCCAGAGGGGCAGGATGAGGCGTACCTCTTGAAGAATCGCGGAATCCGGATACTAGATCCGCGGCTGGCTGGGGTGGTGCCGCCGAAGCTGGACGGACTGGCATGTTGGCGGGGGACGGATATGTGAGGGTTCATCTTCAGTGAGCGTGAGCGGGTGAGAGCCCCCGGGCTTAGGACATGGGAGAAAGAAGGGGGGGGGGGGGGATATCATGTATAGGGTGGCCAAATGCCACCGGGAGTCAAGAGTTTCAAGCTGGTTCCTGAGGGAGCGTCATGGATTGGATGCATCTTCATCATTGCTAGTATTCGGTGGCCCGTCGAGGTGGTTGCAGGTCGCTCGGGTCCGTTTTTTCGGTCACGCGGTCCGCTACTAGTTAGTAAGCAGTTTTAGTCACGTGATGTTCAAGCAAGCTGTTATCTATTAACACTGTAAATTTCAGATTATATTATCTCTTTTAATATTCTTATATCCTACTACTACTATATATAATCCCTCTTCTTTAATTAATTAATATAACTGTTCTGAAGTCAAATATTAGTAATATTATTTATTAAACTATTTATTATTATTTAATTAATTCTGACATAAAATATTAATAATATCTCAGAAAAGTAAGTAATAAATATCTAGAGCTTTCTAAATATAAATAAATAAGCTTACTTTTCTTATTTTTAACTATCTATTAGATATTTATTAAATAATTAAGAACTATCTATATACTGTTTTTAACTGTTTATTAATAACTTTTAAACTACTTAAAATAAAGAGTATAAATATAAAATTTATTATAAAAAAGCTTTCTACTGGATACCAGACTGCAGTAAGACTATAATAAATTTTTTCATTAATTATAAACTAGTTACTAACTACTTCATAACTACTTTGATAACAGTTTTTTCAAATTAATGATATATATATCTATTTATAAAGTTATAAGAATACAGTTCTTAAATCTGAAAATTATAATAAATATACTAGCTAAGCTAAGATTAATATTACAGTTAATATATATTTAATAACTAGTTTAAAGCTACTTTAAAATACTTATTAATTACTTCAAAATAATATAAAAGTCTCTTTACTAATATTAAGCCTGATACTACTACTATATATATTAAAAAATCTATAATTTTATTTTATCTTAAATTAATATTAATATTCTTTTACTTTTAAATTAAGATTTTAATCTTCTTTTTCTACCGCGCAATAAAAAAAAGAGAGATAAGTAATTTTTTAATATTTCAAACTACATTTAGGATATCTACTAATTACTTAGCTATATTTAATTAATATATAATATAAAATAATTAAATTTAGTAATTCTATACCCTGCAAGTCTTGCTTTAATAAATCTAATTATTACTATAATATTAATAAATATAATAATATTTTTTAATTATAAAAATATTTATTTCTAAATTTAATCTTTTATAGATCTGTTTATTTAAATACTTTTAAACTACTTTTTAAATACTTTTTAACTATTAAAAAAATCAAGATTTTTTTTAATAGAAGATACAAATGATAATTTAACAGTTTAAAACTACTTCTGAATTTTTAAAAATCAGTTAATAAAGATTATAAATATATAAATTAAAAAATTTAATTTATAACGTATATTTATTATTAAAGATTATTTAAAATATTAAATATAAGAGACTTATTCAATATATATAAGAAAAATTTATATTAAATAAAATTAATTGTAAACTACTTAAAAATTAATAAATAACTAATTAAAATAAATTGTTTTTTATTTTATAGACAGCATCGGTATTCCAAAAAGTCAAGTTCTTGTACTTTATTTTCAAACTCTTAATAATATATATTTTCTTCTTATTTTTTAATTTCAGCTTTAAGCTTTCAGATTTTAAGTTTTTAATAATATTATTCTATATTTAATATATTAACAGAGATAATACGATAAAGTCTTCTTTAAGATAATATAATTAATTTAAATATTTTATTAATATTTAATAAGTACTTTTCAAGTACTTTTAAAGTACTTTAAATCATATACTAATTTTTATCTAACTGTAAAGATATCTGAGAGACTAATCTAATTTCTAATATAGTTATTAATAAAATTTGATTATTAGAATTATTAAATTATATAGAATAGCAACATTTATAACTCTCTAAAAAATTAATTACTTATATTCTCAGTTTATATAACATAAATAATTTAACGTAATCGGACACTGAGCCGGCGGCGGTCTGCCGCCGCCTCGCTGACTGCCTCGCTGACTGCTTCCTGAGGCCATTCAACCACTAAGAGAAGGCTATATACATTAATTCTTGTTGTTTTCATGAGGGCATCTTAAACGATTGTGTCCTTCACTTCCACATATACTGCAACGGGCAGGCCAGCGCGTCCTGGCCGGTCTTGGTGCTGCAGCCTCAATTGCTTCATTTTCTCGCGCCTGAGCTATATCAAAGCCCTCTTGGCCCGTTAAAGTGCCTCCATACTGTATATAGCGACGTGAGGCCTTTACCTTCCCTTTTTTACTTGCTTGTATAGACTGGAACTGCGTAACTTGTTTTTGAAGCAGGACTGCATTCTGTATAGACTGTTCCGCAGTCTTAATCACTTTTTTAATAACTTTGTGTGAAACTATTGATGCCAGACCTTGATCTGCAAGTTCTTGTAGTTCTTGTCTCTGTCTTCCGAGCTCATATAAATTTGCAGGCGTTTTTCCGAGATAAAAAGACTGATTAGAATGTGAGGATGTTGGTGGAGTTGTGTCAAACCCTAGGATCGCTTCTCCCTGTTCCTGTTAGCTTAGCTCCCGTTCCGATACGTACCTTGTGAACTGAATCAAAGGTAGTCAGGTTGTTGACTATCTAAAGGTGACTTGATCTGAACAGAAGAAGAGAAGTAAGGCCAGATAGTGCCGCGCAGCTATCCGTAAGTGAGTGCGGACGAGTATTGTCGCTAAGCTTTACCAAAACGTATGGTTACTTAAAGACAATTGGATTGAGCACGAAGAACAGAACTAGCTAAAGACATGAAAGAGTGTCCTTATATATCCATCCCTCGTATACCATTCCGTATACCATCGGGTCTATCGTATACCCACTTGGTAGTCATAGACCATGATGGTATGTCGTATACCACATGCTTGTCCGTATACCATGGTCACGTGATCCGTGTCGCCTGTCGGTTCGAGTCGGGATTCTCCTCGATAAGAGCCCCCTTCCGTCCGGGTGTGGCCTTCTGCCTGACATACCCGCCTTACTAGTTGTTCAGCTAGCAGGGGTCCGTAACATTTAGCTGCAGTAAAGTAGATTATTAATTAAAAAACTATAGTTAGAAACAGTCTCAGAAACAGTTAAGAACTACAAACCAAGATTAAGATAAAGAAGTCTATAATATTACTATTATTTAGTACAAAGTTTGAATAGAATCTATAACATAAATACTAGATAATAAGAAGTTATATATTATTTAGTATGCTTAACTATTAGAGAATAAAATATATTATAATTAATTAAGATAACAAGTCACTACAGACAAGCTAATAGTACTATTAAATCAATAAGAAAATCAGTAATTATTTATATCATTAGCTTGGACCACGGAAATCAATAATAATAATAAACCAGTTTCAAGAAATAATTATTTCAGTATAGTTTAGAATGAATTTAATCAGTTAAATAAAGAGTATAGTATTCAGCTTAAAGACCTTGAACTCAGTAAGAAGAGACTTAGTAAGATATCTGATATCCTGAAAAAACCTTTACTAAAAATTAGTAAATCCTGTCTAACACAGTAAGATAAGGATAAAAAAAACTAGAAAAATAATTAGAAAGATATTATTTATTAATTAGACTATATCTTAAAAAGGATCTCAGAGAATCTAGTATAATTCTGCCTAAAATTTAAGAAGATTATATAATATTATCTATATTAAGATTCAAAATATTAAAAATTATAAAATAAGATTTAAAAATAATATTTATAGAGATGCTCCTATTATCTAAAGGTTTGTTTAATATATAGATAAGATAATATAAACTATTATTATTAGTTATTAGAGATTAGCCAGAAGATATATATTATAGAAACAAAATCTTAGTATAATAAACCATATCTATACATTTATTTTAAAGAAAGTAAGGATTATTAAAAATATAATAAATTTTCTTGACTTATATGTTATATGAATACATGCTCAATATACTATAATTAAAAATATATTATTAATTATTAATCTAAGATATTGAAAATAATTAAGATAAAGATAAATTATTATCTATATCTAATCTTTGATTGTACATGCAAAGAGTACTAAAGACATTCTTATTATAGATTAATATATTAACTAGCATATTTAGATAATCAGTATATAATACACTACACGGTAAAGATAAAAGACTCAAGATTTTTAAGAAGATATTTAAGATAGTTAGAACCTAATTAATCAGAATAGTAATTAGTAATTACTGAGTTAGAGCTACATCTGAAGATCCAGGCAATTATATTAGATTAATTAGTTTAAGTATTAATAAACTTTAGAGCAACCAGAAACTTTATAAATCTATGATTTATATAATAGCTTAAAATACTTAGATAATAGAAAGCAGAACCTAAACTAATTACAGGACTAAATAGAGAGAATTTAGAAACTCTTATATTAATAATTAAGTCAGGAACTATATTTATAACTGTAAAGAGTTATTATAAATATATAGACTTTAATATAATATCTTTAAAACAGTATAATATTATATTAGGGATTTCATAACTTAGAAATCATAATCTATAGATTAATTAAAAGACTGAGAATCTTTAATTCATAAATTATGATTACCCAAGACAATACTAGCAAGGACCAGGTTTAGAGTCTGGATCTATACAGCCCGCTACTTAATAAAAAGCTGAAGCAAGGATTAAATAATCTATAGAAAGATTGAGATTACTATAAAAACCTAATATAACAGATATTAAAGATAATTTAAAGAAAAATAACATCTTAAGTATAGTTATATAAGTAATAATAGTAACTAAGTTATTATAGTAAGATTAGCTTATAGAATTATCAAGATAGGTATTAATAATAATAGAAGAGTATTAAGAATACAGTATTAAGAGCTTTAACACAAAGATTAAGATGCTAGAACAGAGACTAGAAGATTTATAAAAACTTTTAGCTGTGATCAAGAATGATATATATATCTTATCACAGTACAAGAGATTTAA